ACATTATGAGATGGCTTGTTACCAATGTGAGAGAAGAGATCCTCTATAAATTGTTAACATTGACCGCTTCAAATTGCTGAATTGTTGAGATTGACGGGTTCAATTTGCAAATGAATTTTTCTATTAATTTGATACGAGATTTTTATGGGATAAAAGATAAGGTTAAAGTTTTAATATTATTATATTATAAATAGGTTTTACTTCAAGCTTAATAGTTTGGACGTTTTAAAAAAATAATATTATTATATTCAATCTATTTATAGAAATAGTTACATTTCATAAAAGAATAATATATATATATATATATATATATATATATATATATATATATATATATATATATATATATATTATGATTAGTTTAATAGAAATATATTAGATTTGTCCCTTAAAAAAATACCTAAATTAAAAAGTGCTTTTGAAAAGTGATTTTTTAATCAAAAAAAAATAAATAAATAAAAAAAAACTTTTATGTAGAAAGTAAATTTCCGTGTTGATTTTAGGGCTTGACTGACGGTTTGAAATTGAAGTCAAAACTGAAAAGACACCGTTCGGTTCCGTTACTAGCGTCGTCTCCCTTTCCATCCTCTCGGATTATTCCTCACATATTCCTCTTCCCCCCCTCTCCCTCTCTCTCCCTCTCTAAAACAACAGTGAATCAGTATATCTCCTGCAAATTCATGTCGGTAAGAATCAAATCCCTTTCTTTTTTACTTTTAATCCAACGTTTTCTGATTCCTTTTTCGTATCTTTGTTCGTTACTGTTTGCTGTATAGATCGACCGATCCCCCGATCGATCGATTGTATAAACGCGTTGTTTGTATTTGAATTCTGAAATCACTCGATTTGATTGTTTGCTTTTGAGTTTAGGAATTACTTATGCTGTCGCTTTTGATCATGGTTTCTACTTTTCTAAAAACGACTAAATTTAGGGATTTTGCCGTTAAGTTATCGATCATTCAAATTAATTCCTAATCTAGAACCATCACTGATTTTTTTTTTTCTCTTTCTTTTCACCTTGTATTTACTCCTCTTTAATCTTCTGGATTACAATTGGAAAGATTATAGATGTATGATAATTGGAATCTTAGTGCTATTGCTTAGCTACTAGCTAGACTAATTATTCATCTTGTTTTTATCTATTGTCTTGATTGGTCTTCCTTTCAAACTTAAAGTTCAACCCCACCTCCCACTTAACACACTCACACAACTAGGTTGAACCTCTTAACGTAAAAGTACTTGAGAGGGTTTGGTACAATGGGGTCAAGTGTCTCTTTGATCACCTTATCAATGTTCAAATAAATCAAATAACCCCACATCATTATTCTGCTCTATACAACCCTTTCAAAAAATTTCCACAATGCATTGAACTTTTCAAAAGTTTAATGGAACATTTTGATAAAATCTTATTTATGACATATTTAAGCCAACATGATATCTCACAAGTTTCATCCATTGAATGCCAATTAGGCTTGTCACCTCATTCAACTCTCCTATTGAATTATGAACTGTAGATGCTTTTAACTTTTAATACTTAACTGTGCATAACAGGAATTTTGAATAATCACATGATTCTTAAACTGTTTGTTAATTGTGATTTGAAGTTTTGTTTATTTATGGTTTTGCAGGAAGAGAAGGGTAGGCCTTTGCCAAAGTTCGGGGACTGGGATGTAAATGATCCTGCTTCAGCTGAGGGCTTTACTGTCATTTTCAATAAAGCCAGGGATGAGAAGAAAACTGGTGGCAAGCCAGAATCACCAGCTAATGGAGATCCTGGTTATAAGCATTCTTCTGCCCCTGTAAAGAAACCTCCAGCTGTAAGTGTCTCCTTAATTTTCCTACTTTATCTGGATTATGTTTTCAATTTTATACTTTTTGGCTGCTTTTGATTCCTTTGATTATCAAAACTTTTGATACTCTCTAGTCCTCTGTTCTTTTTTCCTTTTTTCTTTCATTGGGTGTTAAAAAAGACAATCTTTTAAAGTCTTTTGTAATTGATTGAAGATTATAAGTATCATAGTGCCTAAAAAACAATTTATTTGCAGAAGAAATGGTTTTGCTGCATGCAAGCACCTAATGCAGAATCCTGACATTGTGGTTATTCAGCCAACAAGGCATTCGGGTACTGGGCCCTACCTACCCCACCAAAACTTTTAGTTTCTTCTGTGTGTTAATGTGTTATATATATATATAGAGTCAAGTCAGTCTTCTTGATGGGGGGAGGGAAAATTGAAAAAAATGAAGACTTTTTAAGTGTCTATATTACAGATTTTGAAGTTTCTTGCTTCTTTTCTGTGTGCTACTGCTATTGCTACTGGTTTATTTTATCTCAATCAAAACTCAAAAGCAAGGCTCGTGTGTTAGTAAGTAACTAGTTGTTGTTTTGGCATGTTATTGCTTTGATTTGCTTCTACTATGATGTTAACCGAATTTGTGTTAGATCATGATGATGATGATGATGATGAAACATGTTTTCAAATTGATATTACTAAAATTAAAAGTAGAATGGGTTAAAATGTATTCAGATTCTTGTGTTTTAAGTTGTTTCAGTTGGGAAGGAAATTAATTAGTTATTTGATGGTATAATGTTATGGTTATATTTAGTTTAAATTGTGGAATTAAAAAGCAACAAAAAAAGGGATTAGTTGGGTCATTACATCTCATTGTTTTGCCACTTTCGTTCGTGACGTATTAAGGACATGATGAACAAGATTATTATAAATGAGCTTTATCCATTCAGAATATTTAATGTTAGGTTTGACGTTAAACTTAAAATAACACATGACTATTTTATAAATGATTTGGGATGCCTTTATCAAGGGTTAAAATAAAGAGTTCGTCACAAAGATGTATCATATTATATTATGGTAGTTTATAATATTAATAAAGAAATAGTTTTTTTCAATACTTTGCTTCAATCAATCTAAGCACTTCAATTTCACTTATCTTCTCCTCAAAATTGAATTCCTCCTATTTGTTTTCTCCCAATCGTTCAACGCCTAAATGAATCCAAGCCCTAAATATGATGGTTAAACTTCATTTGACACTAATAACCTTTCTATTTTAATTTTATTCATGTTATACCCCTAGTTAGAAGGAAGACACAATTTGAGTTTCCTACTAATCTCAAATGCCGTATTCTTCAATAAGTTTACATTATTAATCCACACTAGGTTGAATAATAGTAAAATTGAACTCAAACCTTCTACTATGCTTTTAAGATCAGAGGGTGTATTCATACTCCATCACTCATTTTTTCAGTCATGTATGTTTGTTATCTGCTTATCAAAATACAAACTATCTTTCACTTTTATTTTATTAAAAATAAAAATAATTTAGTTTTAAAGTTTTTAAATCAAAAAATAAATAGATTTAATTAAAAATGATTTAGAAATACAAAAATTAGTTAAATAGAAATATTTCATTACTTAAAAATAAAAGTTACATAAAAACCAACCAAGATTTAAAAAAATTACCTAACAACCTAGATTAATAAAAAACAACCAAAGATTAATACAAGAAAATTTTCATTATTACAGGAAATATTTTTTCATAATCTTCTCATTCGTTTTCAAAACTAGCTTGAATGTCGGTCCCGAAAGATAATTGATTTTTTGCATCAAGAAATTCATATTGTCAATTTCTTTCCTTTCCTTGCCCTCGGTTTTTTGTAGCCATGTTTTTCTTTGTCGAATGCCAAACTTTCAGCAAAATTTAGACTATATCGATCAAATGTCTTTGTTATTTTATGAATTTCGTCTACTTCCCTGTTGAAATATGATGCATTGGAAGAAGACCTCTTCCCCTTCCATTTTGCTTTGTCCTTACCAATTGGTTACCTAATGTCTTCTAACTTGAGCTTGTCTTCATCATTTAAATCTAGCTCGACACGAGCATCAGAAGTTGTGTTATCCACTAGAGCATTTTTTTGTTCTTTTTGATTGTGCTCCTTATATTATGAAGTTGGCTTCGCATTTCTTCCGCCTTGGACTAAGAGTTAACAATTTCAAAGACTCATTAAACTTGAATATCTTTTTCGTTTCCTCGCAAAAAAAAAAAATACAAAGCCTCTTGAAGAATTTCCTCATCTCATTGACCGCTTTTTCTTTGGGTTTTTAGGTTGTTGTACAATCCATTCTTCTTCGAAACACTTTTCGTTATTTCTCAAAACTTTGAATTAAGTTGGTGTTTGATACGGTAGTCTCATCTTCACCCAACTTCTTGCAAAATCTTTCAAGAACGCGTAGCTAGAAATGTTCATGGGTTGGATCCTCCGAAATGTTAACCCAAGATTGTGTCAATGCCAACACTTCTTGTTGAGTCCATGCTAAGGCTTGCACTTTTTCTTGTCTTCCACCGGTTGTTTTCCTCTGCCGCGTGGTGGGGGAGGAGGTTGAGTTCCTAGACAATGATCGTCCGAGTCATCGACGCTTTGGTTTTGTGATTAAGAGTGATAGGGTGAGGTTTGGTTTTGTGATTGGGATTGATAAAGCGATGTTTGACTTTGGGTTGGTTTGGTGAAAGTTGATCGGGAAAAACAACAAAGTTGTTGAACATGTTGGGACCAACATTTGGTACTTGCACAATGTAGTATTGTCTAACATTTTTGTATTGAAATTCTAGACGGGATTGAATGGGGGCATCAAGTTGGGACGATAAACCGGTAGAGATAGATCGAAGGCGAAAATGTTTCAAGTTTGGGTAGTTGAACTCGGAACATTGGTTTTTTATTTCTATCGTATTTTGTAGTTGGATTGTTGTGATTCTTTTTTTTTTTTTTTTTTTTTTTTAAGAAATAGAGGAAATGATAGAAGAATGTGTGATTTTAATTGTGAAAGAAGTGGGGTATTTATAGGGATTTAAAATGGTTATATATAAGCATCTTCATGATCCTTCCCATAGAATGCAATGTCTTTCAGTTGGGAGAGTATGTGACCCTTCAGCTCAAAGTTGGCGGTGGCTAGAATTGCGGGTTACACGAGTGCCGACCCGGTGCCATCTCATTTGTGCTTCTTATAGTCCCCCATTGGTATGTCCGCGATGTCGGCCATGTCGTCTTCTTGCTCGGAATTTCGTTCTTCACCAAATGTGGGTATGTCGGATTCATAACCTTCTACCTTCTCGTCGTGAATTGTCTTGAGATTATCAGATTCTTCGATTGCTTTTCCCCTATTTTGGCGAATAATTGACTCTGGATCTTCCACGGGTGGAACTAGTGTGGAACTAGAGCCTCGGGTCATAAAAATCTAAAACAAAATAAAAACAAGCGTAAAACGAACAAAAAACGAAGAAGTAATGAAACTGAAAACGCAAATAACTTGTCGAGTTTTGTAATAGACTTGACGAATTCACCGCAAAAAGCAAAAAACTAAATACGAAAATTAAAACTGAAAACATGTAACTTTATGCAAGATAAATCTCACACAAAGGGTCGATAATACTAGCAAATAAAATAACTATTAGAACCGTTCCTCGGAAGCGGCGCCAAAAACTTGATGCGTGTGGAACGAACTAGTTTTAATCTAACAAACTCAAAGAAAAACAAAAACACACAGGCAATGTACCTATCGATAGTAGTTTAGTTCAAGCAAGTAGGGTATCGAACACAGGGAATGGTAATAGCTAGAACTAATACTAATATTATCTAAATAAAACCATTAATTAAAATGAGGTTTTTTCTCTAGTTTTGCAAGACTAGAAAACTTAAACAATCAATTTGACACTCAAACAAAGACAATTAACAACTAAGAAGAACAACAAAGGACAACTAGATTCAATGATAGACGAGACTTCTGTTCATATTTGATTCACTTATTCCTATGGTTGATTTTGTGGCAAGTGCAATGGATCAATATGTCAATGGTTGTGACATCCCCAATTTCTCGACCAGAAAAGACCGATTTGTTTATGCTTTGTTTTTAAAATCAGAGTAATCTTTTAAAGAAAACAGTTGCGGAATTTGTTCCCAAAATATGATAAAGATTTATCAAAGCATTTCTTTAAAGAAATGTATTTTCATTATATAGCAAAATCTTGGGATGTCATGTTCCGATACAGACACATAAGCATAAACAGAACTTACATTATTTACACTAAAGATTTTACATCTCCTTTAATCTCTCCATGAAATATATCTTCGTATCGATACCTGTGATACAAAGAAAACTGAGTGGGTCAGGCTTGGGAGTCTAGTGAGCATATAGGGTTTTAAACCCACAATAATATTATTATTATATTTAATTATCAAACAATCAATTCAAATACCCACCCCCATTATCTCCATTTATTTCTTAAAGATTTATCCTAAGAACCAATTACCCTTCTCTCATTCATTCCTAAGGATTGCCCTAAGGAACTGACACAATGTCTAGTGCTGCCAAGGTTCTTAGATTACCTCTGGTGAACACGCAATTCACAGTAATTAATGAACACCTAGTTCAAGAACACCTTAATGAACACTTAGTTCCAATATTACCCAATGAACACCTAGTTCACAAACACTTAATGGACACTTAGTTCAATTATCCCTGATGAACACTAAGTTCAAAAATCTAATGAACACTCAGTTTGAATATCCCTGGTGAACCCAATCACCTAAGGAACACAGAGAATGAAAGCTCTTAGTTCAAACAACGTGATAATAAAGTATATCTCGATCCTGCGAAACCACTAATGTTATAAACACATATAAATTATATTTCTAAAACAATATATCCCATCCTGTCGATCCCCACAAACTGACCCTATACAATGATCTTACAAGATCTAGCCTAAGGAATTGATATGAACCACAAACTGACGAAGCTTCTTCGGAAATTCCCTGGCAGCAAACGAGGATCAATAAAGACATCAATTGAGGGGAATAGAATAAGTTTCACCACGAACCTTCGTTCGTATGAGAAAGAACCACAAGATAGTTAAGTCAGGGGTAGTTATCTAGATAACAATGCCTAGGTGTGGTCCGACTATTGTGAAAGAAAATGCTAACGTATGAAGCTCGGTCGATCACTTCATAAAAGAAACACTGACTCCAATCTCTCAAAATAAAAGTATGGGGAAAAATTAATAGAGTATTCCCGTACGCTCCCGTAACCGACACACAAAAGTGTCAAAAAGACTGTGTACAGGGTAGTACTTCTGGCACATTATAGTACTCTGGTATGCGAAAGAATCGTACCCAAGAACATAATAGTACCCTGGCACAAGCAGCACCCAAGACACAGAGCTTTGAAAAGGACTTCGTACATAAAATGTACTTCTGTACGTAGGATGTACTCCACCGATCATCAATCTCACCCCACATGTACTCTTAAAAAGAGACTACCCTTCCAATCTTAATTGAACTAACATCCCATTTAAGTCTTAACCCATCACTAGGCAAACCTACAATGTTTACAATCAATTTTTTTGATACTATCTCCCTTTAGGAAATGCTAACTAGTGTATACTTAACACAAGGTTTTAAGTAATAGTATCATATATACACATCTTAACATATATTGAACCATATCTGATTCGTACATTGTATATTATCAAATATATCTAACACATATTTCGGACAATGACAAATACTTCACATACATATGTATATTTCATATTATAATCAATACTCGTATTAAAATCACGTTCCTAAAAGGGACTATATGTTAGAAATTTGGGTTTAGAAAGGCTTGGAAATTCTGAGAATTGTGATAATCACTTTCAAATCGAAGTATTTGGTGGTACTCCCAAATCTTCAATTGGATAAGACTCAGAGAGACAAGAACAAAGAATGTTTGATGATATTTTCGTATGTACCAGAAAATCAGACCAAAACCAACTTTTAACAACTTTGTCTGAAAACTGTCATATGACAATTTTAAACTGTCATAAAACCATAAAAACTGTCATAAAACGGATATATGGATAAGGGTCAAACCAATGGTCAATTATCTGGAAAATCAATTTTCTGATGCATTTTTTAATATAGTAACATACCCTATATAAAAAAAATTTCGCGCTGACCTGGCAGCTCGATCCCAGCCAGGGGCTCTGCCCCTTGGACCCCGCTCCCAGGGGCGCTGCCCCCGGACCCCCGTTCGTTCAGGGGCTTCGCCCCTAAATGACAGTGTACTTTGAAACTTAATCAAACTTAAACAAGTGTGTACTCCACACCTTCCTTACTTGTTTAATATTTATCAAGATCATTTTTGGTCAACACAAAGTAATCTCATTACACTTAAATAACATTGATGATCAAAATCACCAACACTATACACATGATACCTTATCGAATGAACACGTAGTTCTAAAATAAATAATCCGTACTCCCGGATCTTAAATTTGCCTCATTACCTAATCCATATTCTCGGATCTAAAACTAACCTCTTGATCTGATCCATACCCATGGATCTAAAACTAACCTCCTGCTCTAATCTATACTCTCGAATCTAAAACAAGTTTATATCTTTATCCTTTTATCTCATGGTCCAACCCACCTTTTATCACCTACCAACAACCTCATCTACTCATGTTCTACCCAACATATTTTTAGATACAAAATACGTTTATAGTTTAACTCATTAAAACTTATATAATTCATCCATTCCACAATCATCTCAAATAAACAACAAAATATTATATATGTAGCACGTATTTCATAGAAAATACTTAATATTTATGTGTTAAAGAAAGTAACCACACACTCACTTGATCAGAAGATGATCGGACAGCACTATGACTTGTAGAAGTAGTATTCTTCGGTAGATCTGGAAGATCTTCACAAAAACTGGCTTCTCGCGGGCAGAGCTTCGGCTCGGGAATTACAGTTCTCGGGATCCTCGGGGCTTCGGGTTTCAGGAATGATACCGGGGCTTCGGGAGGTTTCTTGCACGAAAAACGATGCAAAAACGTGAGAGAAAGGGAAGAAATGAGCAAAGAACTCGCGTAAATAGCTCTGATGAAAGGTGGGTAGGCAACCTTCACAACAAATGATCGAATCACCACATTAACCACACATGTAACATGACAATAATCGTTAACTTCTTATGAAGGTCTCCATAAAGTCCATCATTTTCAATTATAACAATCATTTTTATACATCAAATAATTCTATATCCACCAAAAACAGTCACCTCTAGAAGAAAACAAAGAATGTAACTTAAAAACTTACTGGTAGTGAAGATATAGAGTTACCTGCTTGACCACCTTCGTATGACAGTTCCAGTCTCGAATGCTTTTATTTCCTACTCAGTGATATTACTTTACATGAAGGATCTCAGTTCTCTTTAACATCAGCTAACCTCCATATACTCCTTATAGATTCCCCTAAAACGAAACTGAATCAAAAGCATATCCACATATTTTCAATTCTTGAGACAAAACAACAATATCATTCATGATATCTCCTTTGCTATTAGTACTCCGGTTGTAATACAAATTATTATCTATATAGATGAAAAACATTATTTCTGAATACAACTACATATAACTAATGATAATAATCCCAAAACCAATTAACAACCCACGAAAACCCTAACTTGAAGAAATGGATCCATCTTTAGAAGAAGAGATTGAATCGAACAAAGAAGCAAAGCAGTTAAGGTCAAATATGACATCGTCTCCACCAATCGACCTACTCATTGCCACAAAGCAAAACATTACCTTTTAGCATTCGACCGGTTGATGTCGGCAACCGTGGCAAGAAGGGGAAGGTACAACGAAACTCAGCAGCTTTATTTCTTGGCTGTGGAACCAATGTCTTTGCATCAACCGAAAATATGTACAAAACATTATTTATCAGTTATTATTATTTCCTTACAAAAAAATATTTGATTTTACGCTGCAAATCATTGAGAAAATAACCTGTAGTTCCAGTAGCTAACAATCCAAGGAACTTGGTGACAGGGAAAAGATTTGTAAGGTTGGTTGGATCCAAGAGCCGACAATAAAAGGGAATCAAATCTTCAAGTGGTGAAATGAAGTTTTTTGTACACAGTTCAACATATGTTTTGGTTGGGACATAGAATGAAAATAAAAACTAACATGTGCATTTTAACTAACACTTGGGGTGCAATTACAATGGTTGCTGGTTTTGTAGATGTTGAAAGTTGCCGATCTTTAACCCTCTGCATCACTCCCTAACAATCCCGTCCCCATGCCTATGGTTGTTATCATCTGATAAAAAAAATTGAAAAACTTGCTTCAAACATTTTATCGAGCAATTGGTGTGCATCCTAAGAGCTACAATCAAATCTCATATACTCGATTTTGTATCATTCAAAAAACTAATCAATCAAACTATAGAAAAAGAGAAAGAAAAGAAGAAGTCGAGAAGGATGGTGAAAATCGAAAATCGAAACCTTACCAAATGATCGACTGCACTGTATGAACGGTTTAGATGTATAAATTCATGAGGAAGGTGGTGAACGAACAAAACATATGGAAGCAAAGAACAAACATGAAGTCGGTGGTGTGGTAGAGTGGAAACATCTACGCTGTCGGAACAACTTGATCGACCAACAACTATGTAGAAGGGGGAGGTGAGACATCGTGAAACGAAAACAAAAAAAAGCTGAAGAAAAACAAACCTGTAGCCGTAAACCGAGGCGGTAACCCTGCTGGACCGAATTGGATGGCGGTGGCGATGAACTGTTCACGAATAAAAAGGATCAGGAAGTGGTTGGCGGTGGAGGAGCAAAGGGTAGAAGAAGAACGGAGCGGAGGCCGTGACGGGTCTTCCCTTTCGGTTTCGATTCCAAATGTGATTTGAATGTTGGCACCGAATCATAATGGGTGTTGCGTAGGGGAGATAAATGGCACCGTTGACAGGGAGATAAGGCAGTGGAGAAGGTTGTTGGGGTTGCTTATGGCGGTGGATTGTTTGAGGAGTAACACGTGACGCACACTAATCCATCTAGTAACATGCCATCAAGGAAGAAAAGAAAAAAAAAAACATAAAAAATCAACCAATCAAGAGCAGAAACTGTTACAATTTTTCACATCTTTAATATATATATATATATATATATATATATATATATATATATATATATATATATATATATATATAATAATAATAATAATAATAATAATAATAATAACTTATAAGTTATAAGTTATAAATTAATTAAAGGGTAAATTACATTGTTCCTCATGTATATGTCAAAAAACATGTTTAGTCTTTATTTTCAAAAATTAACTCAGATCGTCCCTCATTCATTTAAAACTTGCACGTTTCATCCCTCTAGACATAAAAAGACCATCTTGCCCATATTTATTTTTTTTTTAATTTTCTTTTTATTTGTTTGTTATTTTTAGATTAAATAAAAAGAAAAAAAAACAATAAATATACATACAGGTACCCACCCCTCCCCATCCCCCTTCCTATATCTTCCTCCTACCTTTGTCCCTCCATTCTCAGCTACTCCCGAAGCCGGCGAAGCCCCATCACCCGCACCTCCACCTTCACCCGAAAGCGATAAACCAAAATTAGACCAATCGATTTTCCTCCTCCTCCGACCGCCTCTATCAAACCCTAGAACTCAAGAAGGAACTGTACATGAAATCATCAACAACACCACCATCGTCGGTGGAATCATCAACAACACCATAATTGTCACCACCATCTCATATCTCCGCTCAACCCTAAGTCGCCTCTTGTTTTTACTGTTCTTGATTTGCAGCAAATCAGAAGATAGAAAAGAAAAAAGGAAGTTGCAATTTATCTATTCCCCAATTTCCTTCTTCTTCTTCTTTGAATTCAATCGATCATATCTCTCACTCTCTCACATAGACCACCAATCATCACTCAAACCTCAAAAAAGGAACCCAAAACCTACAATTGAAACCAAACTAAACCCTAAACTTATAAATCAAAGAGGACGGAGATCCAAATCAGAGAAACGGGTTCAGATCCAACCCAAATATTCTCCATCGACGATAGAGATGAAGAGGTGATCACATTCCAGGCGGTGTTTAAGATGGTTTCCAGGGGTTGATTTGGATGGAGATGGTTGGCTTCGAGGGCGGTATAAGGCAAGTGGTAGTTGTTGTTTGGAGGCAATGAATAGATGATGTTTGAACGGTGCAGTTTGCATGAAGATGGTTTCCGATTAAAGTGAGTTTTTTTTTATTTTTTTATTTTGAAGGTAAGGTTTAAAGTGGTTGTTGGTTGCGGTTTGCGACGATGAACATCGGTGCGACAAGGGTGTTCCAATGGTCGTGTATCCCAACGAAGGAGGTAGGAAGTCGATGGTGGATTTTAAAATGTTGGGGTGGGGGTATAAAGTGGGGTCCTATTGCTTTTTCTTTTATTTTTAAATTAAAAATAATAATTATAACATTAAATTAAATGGAAAAGAAATACAAAAATAGACATAATAGTCATTCTTTTGCCTCGTACAAGATGAAACATGTAACTATTATCTAAAGAGGTTTGTCCAAATTAATTTTTTAAAATTGGACTAAACATGCTTTATTCTTAATTAAATATATGAAAAGAAACGAAAACAAGCGCCGGGACGGCTTTCTTTCTGGTACACGGGCCGTATGAATTATGAAATTGTCTAAAAGAGAGTGCTGAAGAAAATGCCATTTCATCGTACAACCATCAATGCATTTGGTACAACCCTGTGACATTCTCCTATTCATTCAACCTTACTTGGCTCCCTCACTGATTTGTTAATTCGTGTTTTCGATTTTCCACTCTCCATTTCTCTCTCTCTGACTTTTATCGGACATTCAAAACCCATTTCTTTTCATCTGCTCTTACAATCAAACCCTGTGATTCTTCGCTGGTAATCCCTCGATCCCCCCTTTCCTGTTTCTTAATCGGGTGTCAAAAAAGATCATCTTTTTGTTTGTTTATGACTCCCAAGATTTAATTTTCAACAGTCTTTGCAGGCTTTTTCAACAGTCCGTGTTCTTCATTTTTTTTTGTGGGGTTGTTTGATTTTCAAGGAATCATAAACGGATTTTAATAACCGGATCATTACACTAACGTTCTCAATCATGAAAGTATTTGCACTTCTACCATAAAGACTTGTTGATTTTTGGCTTTTTGCATCTATCACACTCCTAGGGTTCATATAATCATACCCTCTTTCTGTTTGCTTTTAGGGTTTTTCAAGTTTCTTTATCCTTGATGATTTTCAAAATCTTTTTATAAAACTTTTCAAGTTTATGTGGTTGATCGCATGATGAATGATTATTTCTTCTTTCTTCTTCTTCTTATTATTAACTTGGTTGTGTGATTTCAGCTTTCAGGGTCTTGGAGCTTGCTAGATTAACATTATCAACTCATTTCTCTGAAGAAACTTTCTAATTAATCAAGTATGTTCATCCATATTTCGATTCCAACATCGAATGTTTATTTCTTTTTTAGTTTCACCCCTTTTGTCAAATTGATTGCAATAACGTTTAAAAACTTTAATGTTCATGATTGATGTTATACAGGGCTTTTGATAGTTTACAGTTTCTTTTCGTAGAAATGAGAGAAATAAAACGTATTACTTTTTTATTTTATATATCATGGTAAACTAATTATCACCCTCTTTCAGTATGGTGGCGAAAGATCGTCAAAGCAAAACAGACTCTCCAAAAGTGGAGGTCGGAGAAATCGACACCAGGGCACCTTTCCAATCGGTCAAAGATGCAGTCAATCTTTTTGGAGAAGGTGCTTTTTCAGGCGAAAAACCCACAATCAAGAAAATAAAACCACATTCAACCGATGTATGTTTATGTTCTTTCTTTTCTTCAATTCTCATCCCAAATTAAGATTTTAATCCCGTAATTTTATTGTTTATGGATACAGAGGGTGTTGGTGAAGGAGACAAAGCTCCATTTAGCCCAGAAAGAGCTCGATAAGCTAAAGGAACAGTTAAAGAGTGCTGAAACTACAAAAACTGGAGCACTTACAGAGCTTGAACGAGCTAAAAGAACTGTAGATGATTTGAAAAACAAACTCCAGATCATTAACGAAGCAAAAGAATCAGCAATCAAAGCTACAGAAATGGCAAAAGATCAGGCAAAGAAACTTGATGTTGGAGAAACAAACTCTAATGGTGTTTTGAATCACGATTTGGAGAAATCAAAACAACAGTATGCTGCTGTGTTCACAGAACTTGATGCTGCAAAACAAGAGTTAAGAAGAATCCGCCATGATTATGAGGTAGCCATGGAAGAAAAATCTGATGTTATTAAGGAAGAACAAGAGGCTGAGGTTATGAGCAAAGTGAATTTAGATAAAGCTGGGGAGATATCCAAGGAGATTTTATCTGTTCAAGAAGCTATTGAGCATGTGAAGCTTGCAGCCATTGAAGCAAAACAAGAACAAGAGAAAATAGTTTCAGAGAAGAACATTCAAAAGCTTGCACATAAATCCGCCCTTGAAGAATCTGCAAAGAAACTAGTTGCTTTGAGAGAACAAATCGATCCCGAAATGTCAAAAGATCTTGAATCCCAATTTGCTAAAACCACATCCGAGATTAAAAGATTGGAATTGGAAATGGAGAATGCGAGAGCTTCCGATCTTGATTCTTTAAAAAACGTGACATTAGAGCTTGATGGAGCTAAAGATTCATTACAGAAAGTTGCAGAAGAAGAGACCTCATTAAGAAACTTATTAGAATCATTGAAAATCGAGCTTGAAAACGTGAAGAAAGAACACGAAGAATTAAAAGAAAAAGAAGCAGAAACCGAATCAATGGCAGGAAATCTGAATGTTAAGTTGCAGAAAAGTAAAATGGAGCTTGAAGCTGCATGCGTGGAGGAAGCTAGAGTCAGTGGTGGTTCTGATGAAATGGTGGCGGCTCTCCGGCAACTATTGGCGGAGAGTGAAACCGCGAAAAGGGAATCGGAAAAGATGAAGGAGGAAGCTGAAGAGTTGCAGAAGGAGGCGGCAGCCATGGAAGCTTGTTTAGAAGAAGCTGAAGTTGAATTAAGAATCGCGTTAATGGAAGCAGATGAAGCTAAAGCAGCAGAATCAAAAGCTTTGGAGGAGATAAAGTTGATTTCAGAAAGAACAGATGCTGCACGCGCTTCAACTTCTGAATCTGGATCAAAGATCACGATTTCACGGGAAGAATTCGAGTCATTGAGTAGAAAAGTTGAGGAATCGGAGAAGCTGGCGGGGATGAAGGTGGAGGCGGCAATGGCGCAGGCGGAGGCGGTGAAAGCGAGTGAGAAAGAGGCGGTGAAGAGGCTTGAAGTAGCACAGAAAGAGATTGAAGAAATGAAAGCTGCAACGGAGGCGGCGGTGAAGCGGGCTGAGATGGCGGATGCCGCTAGGAAAGCGGTGGAGGGGGAGCTCCGGCGGTGGAGGGAAAAGGAGCAGAAGAAGGCAGCAGAAGCAGCTTCGTTGATCTTACAAGAGTCACAGTCATTACCTTCAACACCACTTCGGAAGCAGATTCCGGTGAATCCTCCACCACCAGCTGCTTCACAGAAACCTGTTAACATTCAGAAACAGAAGACAAAGAAAATTCTTGTAAGCAATTTGAGTGGGATTTTTCAGAGGAAGAAGTCACAGGTTGATGGTGGATCATCTCCTTCATATTTGCCTGGTGAGAAGCCAATGTAATTATTATTTGATAATATGATGTTTGTGTTATGAGTGGAGTGAGAGAGTGGTTGGTGTGTATATTGTTGAACCAAATTTGAGAAGGAAAGCTTTTGGCTGAAGCTGCATGGAGTCTTTTTGGTAGTTTTAAGCTATTTGAAGTTTAATTACTTGAGTAAGTTTTTTTCGATGTTGTTATAAGGACAACTTTTATTTACCAATTGTAAATAGCTACCATCGTGGCTTAATGGAATTGGTGTGTCTGTAAATGCATGTGGGAAACATCAACTTCTTGTAGAAAACAAGATGCCCGATCCTTGTTACTATTTTCTTATCTGGTATTTTTTGGGGAGAAAGCTGTTTTTTACCGTTGCCTATGTTATTTCTACTGCATACAATTCCGGTATGTCTTCCAATGAAAAAAAAAATATGGACGAGTTCGTGAGTTTTTTAAGGATAAGCTTTTTTACCGCTGCCTATGTTATGTATCGTATTCCCATCGCAAACATTTCTGGGATGTTTTCCTATGAAAAATTATATGGACAATTTCCTGATTTTTCTTTTGTGAGGGTATTTGGGTGCACCTGTTTTGTGTTACGTCCTTATGCATGAGAGCAGCTATGATGCATGAAAACTTCTCTAAGGTTGCTGTTTCCATTTCCGAAACTCCATGGAAACGGATACTCCATGGAAACTCCTTGGAAACGTTTCTTGAAAGTATCAGATATCATGGAAACGTTTCTGCGAAGTTTCCTTGAAGTTTCCTAGCCGTTTCTATTTTATTTTAAGGTTTACATGAGTTTTTTAAGTTTAAATCCAAAAAAGATTAATGGGCTGTTGTTTTTAAGGCTCAAAAGGTATTTGGTATTCCCTTAAGTCCCTAACCGACCGTCAGTCAAAATCTCCCATGTCGTGAGTCGTCTCCTGTCTTCTCGATCAAAGACGATTAGTCGATCACAATTCACTAGGATCGTCAATCATCATTCATCACCATTCTTGATTCTCTTAATTCCTGATCACATCATCGATTATGGCTTCTCAAGAAACACAAGGATCATCAACTACATCAATAGATCAACCTCCATTGCAGGACTTGACATCAATATATATATATACACACACACACACACACAATTTTATATTGATGTATCTCTGTCGCATCCGTATCTTGATTTTTTGGGTTTTGCTGTTTCCCGTTTTCGTTTCGTATCCGTTTCTCATTACCGTATCCGTTTCCGTGCAACTTAGGAGAGCAGAATAAGTTGTTTCCAAAGTCGGCGTTGTGTTGTGTGTATTTTTGGTATACAATATTGGTTAGAAAGGATATCGGTGATTTGATCTAGTGAGTAAAAAATTGTACATTTCTAGACAGGTCACATTTTTTGACATATTCCGTTCTATTCTATTTCGGCTCAGTCTCATGACACGATCAGATCTTCGGGTTATTGATCATTTTGATATTGATGATCACACTTCATTTGATGCTCCCGTTCATGATAATACATTAGATGCTCCAGCTCTAGATAGTCCCACAAACAATACTCTTACTGTTCCTACACTTGTTGCGACTCCAAATACTGTATCACCGAGGAGGTCTACTCGAAGTCGTAAGTTCATCAAGCTCCTAGAATTTGCATATTCTTTTTACTCACCAACATTTGCATCATTTATTGCTAACACACACCATCTCAATGAACGTGAGTCCTACAAAGAGGCGTCCTCTTTGGCAAAATGTTATATCTACGGAACTTACAACTATTTATCATACTTATATGTGGGATATGGTTCCACTCCATTCGGGAAGCATGATATTGGTTGTCGTTGGCTATATAAGATCAAACCACGTCTATGGGTCCGTTAAACGATACAAAGCCAAATCTTGTTGCAAATGTGTACTTACAAAAGTATGTTATGGATTGTGAGGAGACTTTGGCTCCAATTGCAAAAATAATGACCACACTCTGATAATCGGTTCTTCCATTCAACAATGGAAGATCTTCCAAATGGATGTCAATAATGCATTTTTGAATAATGATCTTGATAAGGACATGGACGTGCCTCCTCCAGGTATTGCTCACCGACCATGTAAAGTTTATCGGCTTCGAAAAGCTTTGTATGGTCTCAAACAAACCCCTCACGATTGGTTTGAAATTTCTATATGGTGATAACTCCACCGGTTTATTCCTAGTAATCATGATTCTACATTATTTGTTAGATGTACAAGTACAGGTTAAATCCTTCTATACCTATATATTGATGACATTGTTATTATTAGTGATCGATGATGATGATGTTATAGATTCTTTGAAGTGTAATTTATCTTCTTGCTTTTCTATGAAAGACTTGAGCTTACTACGTTATTGAAACAACCTACTTTTGGTTTAATATTTTAAACCATTAAAATACTCTTTTAAAATATAGAACATCGCTTTGCTGAAAATCGGTCCCAAAGTCTTAGTTTGAAAACAGTCTATGTTTCAAAACAAATTAATCGAGAAAGGTTATAATAATGATATCATCAAACAAGATAAGTACCACTACATAAAGTGGCCTTCGAAATGCCCTTTAATTTCTCTAAGTCTCTTCATAAACAATCACATAAATACATGTCAAAATAATTTGTTAGACATTGGGAATGCCTAGTGAGTAATATTGAGATTCCATCACGTTTAGTCAAGTATCACTCATTCACTACCTATGATGAATACCCAAAATCTTTTGAAAAACTCTTTAACATCTAATACTAATTTGTTTTAATAAATCCTTCACTTTGTGATCGTTTAAAACTCTTCAGAATCTTATAGTTCTCTTAATAAACATTGTACCAAATCTTATATCTTGTGATTAAACTCTTTTCATCCTTTCTCTTTATAAACACTTTGAAATCTTAAAACTCTTTTCATAAACTCATTACTCATTTCTATTTGAAATACTTAAGATATATAATACTCTTTGGTTAAACTCTTTACTGTATTCTCTTTAATAATCATAAATTATATAAACATACATATATAACATAAATGGAAAAATGCAATGCAATATGCAATTGCACCCATCGTCGTTCCTTTCTTTGTCCCAAACACAGTTTTCTCGTTTGATAGTAATGAAGACTGAGATAGTTAACACAAAGCAACCTACATCACAACTCCTTTCATTTCTCTTTGGTTTATTTATGGGTACATGTGAGCTATCAAATCATCAGTCCCATACATGAGGTAGTTAACATGCATGTACAAGTGGGGCATGTGTAGAATATTGCACCAGTCTTTCGTCTCTTTAGTCTTGTTTGCCATGGACTTTGGAGGGACATACACGTCTTTTCCCCAGTATTACATCAATGGACATATATTTATGCTAAACTTTTTCCAAATAATTTGAACACTTCACTCTTCATCAATACTCTTATATAAAATTGTTTTCATAAAATACACACATAGATAAACACAGAGTTAAACACATGGAAAGTAGTTTATAAACATCTTAAACACTTTCCAATTATGAAAACATATTTGATTTGTTTTCATGGGACATGTATTCGATAGTACTCACCACAATGTAAGCCAAGCTACTATCCTTTCCTCTATGCATATTACAGTTCACTTCACCTCATACTTCACCTATTAAAAATCATCAATATTTGGTTACAAAATGACCATAATACCCATAACACATTTGTAAACTCATTATAGTGTTTTAATAGCCTAAACACTTATATAAAGGTGTTAAAAGTATCAAAATGTTAAACGAATGAGCTAATGTCAATTTGGCATGTCACATTCCATACATACCATTATACGGTCGTGTAGTATTTTCCCTTGACATTACTGATGGGTTTTCTAGCAATCTATACAGACTAGTTAAGCAGCAGAAACATCATAATAACCATATATCTGCATGCACCCTGATAGATATAACAACCTACTTTGAAAAACAATAATGTAACGCCTGTTTTGACAGGTAAAACTCTTGCTAATTATTTCGATTATCCATGGACCAGACTTGAGTACGATGGGCGTACACAAGGTATGTGCGACGTACTCCTATGCATGCGCGAAGCGGGGATGTTCCCTACGTACGTTGGGCATACCCATGTGTACGTAGGGTGTAGGCAAGGTAGTGGAAAACCTTGATTTTTAGGGTTTGCACCCCATTTAAGCTCATTAAGCCCTTAAGTCCTTCACCTTATTAGCCTCCATTGCCTTTTTGAGCTAATGTTGAAACCCTAGCCATCTTGAGACTATTCTTGAGCTTAATAAGAGTTTTTGGGGTGTTCTTTTGTGATCTTGAAGAAGAAGAAGGCTTGAGGAGAAGCATTAGACAAGAAGGAGCTTGTAGATCCAGAGGGTGTTCATCATTTCTAGATCATTAGAGGTATAAAGTTTGAAAATGGTTCATTCTAAATCTAGACCTAAGTTTAGGGAAACTTAACATATTTTGGTCCCATAACGTTGGTCTCATGGAGCATGGACTAATCCAGACCATTTGAGTTGTCCTTTTGGGCTCTTTGGAGTGCATGAAGTCATAAAAATTGGATCTTGGTGGTTAGAACTCAACCATGCATGATTTGGTGACCACTTAAGGGAGATAAAAGGCTAAATCCATGGTTTGAGTCTCAGTAAGACATGCAAAAGTATAAAGTTTACAACTTTATGGCTTAATACACTTTCTTGAGCTTAGGTTTGAGTTTGGTCTTTGTATGCTTAACGGTTTAAGACATTTGGAGTGAGTTGGGTTGTCTGACCAGTATGTCGGGTGTACTCACGAGTACGCTGCGTGTACTGGGCCAGCGCCCCGATTTTGGATCGACAACACACGTTGGGCGTACGAGCCAAGTACGTCAATCTGTGGGCCTTCAGAGTTTTGGGCTCACGATTAGTTGGGCCTTAGGCATTTTGTGATATCAGGTCATTTGTGGGCCTTAGGCCATCATGGAGCTTTTGGGCCTATGTTGGGCCTTTGGGTCCATTTTTTGGACTTGGAATGCCTTTTGGACTAGTGTGGATTTTGGCCTTGGTGGGGTAGGCCCAATAAGGCAAGGGTTAAGTAGCATTTTCAGAGTTTAGACTATCGGATTGGATTATTGACCTAATTTTTGATTAGCATTTTATACTTGTGGTTTAGTGAGAGGATTTTGCGAGTCAACAGCTTGAGTATGATTTGATATCTTTGGTCTGAGGTGAGTTTCCTTCACTGTATCCATGGGTCGAATGCACTAATGCTGGACCGTTAGATTATGTGTGTGGTATGATGATTGTCTTCGTGACAATTACCTATTATGCCTGTATCAACTTGATGTCTCTATGACTCTTATTTTATGATTATATATGTTAGTGGTACGGGTGAAATAGATCTGATACCAGTTGAAAGATACCGAAGGGGATGCAATAGACCCAATATCGGTTGA